AGCGCTATTTAGAACTTCCGGATAAAGATAAGCCAGCTCATAATCTTCCGGTGAAGCTCATTTTATATATGTGAGACTCTCACAGAAACCTCTCCTGCCTCATTCTTATCAGAAACTGAGAAACAAAATAATTGCAACACCATAAATAATGATAGCGGAATTAACATACTGTTTTATGTTATTAAAGAACATATAAATTTATATGCAGAGTCTGGTAATCCCAGAAAAGTAGGCTGCCCAGACACGTAACTGTACATTTAAGTGCTGACAAATAAACACTATCGTAACTGTTTAGGCAGTTAGTCTAATCTCTTAAATGACATCTTAATGGTATTCTCAATAATCAATATCTTACCTTCATAGCCATGAATACATTTTTAAAATCTTATAAAATTTTAAAGCCTTTATTATTTCTCATCAGTAAAATTCACTTTATTAAAGGTTCACTTTTCATTCATGTTTTAGGCTTCTCCTTATTTTAATATCTTAGACATCCATCAATTAGTGATGAAAAAAATTGCCGCGCTGGTGGAAACAACACGAGACTGTGCTGCCGCGACTGTCAAGAGCGGCTCGACAGTGTTTAGTGTCCCGCAGCAGCAGCAGCGAGCGTGCCGTCAGCGCAGCTGAAAAGTTCTGCGTTCAAATGCACGCAATAGGCTTAAGCAGTTAAGCTTGCCGCAAAGCACTGGCAAACGTTTCGTTAAGTAGTAATTTAAAGCTTTCTATAGATATATTTATCATGTCTGTGAGGCGTGTATTCGCTGAGTTTCGGTTCATTTTTGTGAAGCGCTCCTTTTCAAGACCGAAACGGCAGTGTAAAAGCACAACGTTTTGTTGATATTGTGAGTGCACACAAAAAAGTAGACACTTTGCAGTTCCAAATCATGTATTACTCTTTATGAGCAAAAATTATGCATAGGCAAAAAAAATGCAAGTGATCTCGCTGGCGACTTCATGTCCTTCAAAGCGCTCTTCAGCTTCCACTCTCCGCACAAACTATTGGATATGCGTCTAACAGCGCACATTTATCTAGGTTTAACGTCTAAACATTGTTATATGCTTGAACTGTTTTATATCTACAGATTTTATTTTAGTCAAGTCGTGATGATTTGAGAAGGCTAAATTGATCAAGCATATGCTCACTGTCTGCCGCTGGCCACTTGGTCGTTACTTTAAATGCGTAACGTTAATTAGGCTATGTGAGTACTGCTCATGTCTGAAAATAATATATGAAAAACAAAATTATTTTACATAAAAACATTAGGCTATAGCTTAAATTTATTTAGTAAATTTTTAAATTAATGTAAAAACTAAAATGAATTGTAAAACTGAAAGTATTTTTTTTTAATTGTGTTCAGCACGGTGGGCCGCATGCGGCCCGTGTGCCGCGGGTTGAGAACCACTGCTCTAGGAACATTTATCTCTAAATGGTCAATTGCAGCATTGTTATTTGAACTGTTTTATATCTATAGATTTTATTTTAGGCAAGTCGTGATGATTTGAGAAGGCTAAACTGATCAAACATGCTATGGTATATGAAACAGGCTATAATTAGCTCACTGTCTGCCGCTGGCCGCTTGGTCGTTATGATGACTGAGCTGGCTTATCTAAAACCAGGAAGTAATCGTGCATATGGTCAATTGAGGGACAGAAATCTCCCAAATTAAAAAAAATAAAAATCTTCACTTGTGTTTCAAATATGAATGAAGGTCTTATGGGTTTGGAATGACTTAAGGGGAGAAATTGCTGACAGAATTTGAACTACAGTATATAGCCATTTAGGATGAACAATTTAAAACCTTATATATATATATATATATATATATATATATATAATAAACATCTAAATAATAACATAG